TCCTGGCTAACACTGCCACCTTCTTCAACCATCACTACAACACACATAAAAACACACACACACACACACACACATACACACACACACACACACACACACACACACACACACACACACATTTTTCTTAAGAAAAGATGTGTATCACGTCTCTGCAGTCGCGTGACAGCGAAGACATATTGGCTCAAGTGCTTATGTCAATTCTGTCTTGAGCGAGCATGCACTGTCAGGGAAACAAATGCTGGAGCATTGAGAGCTACACAGTGTTTGGGTTTGTCATCACATGACCAACACCTATGTCATATGACCAGCACCTAATAACAATCACCCACGCACTTTTCACAACCCACATATTTAACACCACACCCACACTGCATCCACATCTTCACCTTCCTTCTCTTGACCCAATGAATTGAAGCTGCCCTTAGATCAAATCTAATGGCCTCCCATTATCCCCATGCTCTGCATAGCTTCTAAACTTTCAGGCTGGTGGGGTGTGGGCGTCCTGGTGACTTCCTGCATCATCGTGGGGTTCTCAGCATGTCGCCTGGGCACATGCTGGGTCATCCTGGAGGAGAGGTGGCCGGAGTACCAGAGGGCGTGTCGTAAACCCTACCCTGCCATGGCCTACAGGACCCTAGGAAGACCTGGTTGGTGAGTGACTAGCAATGTGTGTGTGTGTGTGTGTGTGTGTGTGTGTGTGTATATATATATATTATATATATATATATATATATATATATATATATATAATATATATATATATAATATATATATATATATATATATACACGTATAATGCTCTCTCTTTTGTTTTTACACATCGGCCGTTTCCCACCGAGGCAGGATGACCCGAAAAAGAAGAAACACTTTCCTCATCACTCAATCCATCACTGTCTGGCCAGAGGCATGCAGAGACATTAGTTAAAAAAAAAACTGGAACATATATCCACCTCTTCTTCAGAGTGGAGGCACTGTACTTCCTACCTCCAGGACTCAAGTCCTGCTAACCGATTTTCTTGAAATACTTTATAAATGTTACCTTGCTCACACTCCAACAGCACGTTAAGTCATAAACACACACAGTCACACACACACATATAGCTGATAATGTTATGTATCACTGAATTTCGTTTACTTTTATGTATCTTTAGCTTCGTTTGTCTCCTGTGTTATTTGTCTATATTTATATTATATTTTGAGTCCCAGTGTTTATGTTCCATGCGGTGTAATGACCAGTCAGTGCTCGTGAAGGACTCTTGAACCAAGGAATTGGAGCTGTATTCTCCTTCCTCGCATCAAAATGAACTATTCTTCAACCTTCCCTCATCTCAGGTGCTATAGTGCTTTTCTCCTCCATCAATATATTAATGGAACTTCTCGTTACCATCTTCCTGACCTGGCCACATCTTCTTCAGGTACCTGGTGAACGTGGTTCAGTTCGTAACGCTCTTCGGCGTGTCCACGGTGACCATCCTGCTGTCGGCGGAGCTTGTGGCTTCAGTGCTGGAGCCCCTGGTGCCCACCCTCACTGTCTGTAGTTGGGTCATCGCCTGTGGCTGTGTCTTCGTTCCTCTCTCCTGGCTCGGCAGCCCAAGGGAGTTTTGGTGAGACATCAGTCTTGACTGTCTAGGGGGATAAAACATAAGAAGGAGCACTGCAGCAGGCCTACTGCCGCTCAAAAAGAAGACAGGGGGATAGGGGACAGAGGTTCAGTGTTAGAGTAAGGGGGATACAAGATTAGGTTCAATGTTAGAGTAATGGGGGGATACAAGACTAGGTTCTATATTAGAGTAATGGGGAGAGGAGACAAGAGTTCTATGTCGGGGAGGATAGGGGATAACAGATAAAAGTTCTGTGTAAAAGTGAAGGGAGGGGGGGGGGGACGAATAAGAGTCAAGGGGTCTATGTGAGAGAGGAAAGTGGATAGGAGAGGATTATATGAGCTCAGTGGAGCTTATGATCACTTGACTCAAACCTTCCACTAGCGAACCTTCCCACTCTGTAAAAACAAAAAATGTATTACTGTACATGTAAGTGAATAAGCGGATGACTACCTCTTGATGTAGCAGATCAACAAGTGGGACAGGGGATAGAGGATGACAGGGTTAGGAGAGTGTCTGGTAGGTCCTCATCAGTGAAATAAACACCATCGAGCAGAACCAGGGTGCTTTGAGCCTAGCAAAGCTTCTTGAACACTTCCTGCTAGCTGGGTAACTTTCCCACACAAGGAGCTCTCTTATACAGCGCCACCTGTCTCGAAATTAACCCTGAGATCTTGAAATTGGCTCTGAGGTCTGGAAAGTGGCTCTGAGGTCTGGAAAGTGGCTCTGAGGTCTGGAAAGTGGCTCTGAGGTGTTAAATTGACCACGAAATCCTGAAATTGACCCTGAGATCCCTAAATTCGCCCACCTGAGCCCCCGCTTCCCTTGTCTTAGCTGCACACGAGGGTGACCTCTCCCACCCTTTATACCTGTTGTACAAGAATGGTATACAGTACCGACAAGATGCAAATTAAGACACATGTGGAACATTTGGGTATCTATTGTAGACGTTTCGCCATCCAGTGGCTTATCAATACAAATTCTAGGGCATAATCTAAAGGTGAGGTAGTCAGTCCCTCAGCCTTGGAGTTGGTGTGAAGAGCACTGGAGTCTTCAAGACTACGGTGGCTACGGTAGACTTGATAGAGTACAATCATGAGAGATGTCCATTACGTACCTAAACCCATCTGTATTTTAGGTGTTCAAACACTTGAAATACAGACAGGTTTTAAGACACCCGCAATACCAACTTTTAGAAAGGTACTTACGAAGTATAGGAACTTACCAAGTTTACGAAGAACTTGCATGGGAAGTTGTGATGGAAGGAGTGTTGGCCAGACACAAGAAATTCTCAGAATAAGTCTACGTGTGGTTTACGGTAATGTAAACTCTGAAAACATTAATAATTTTAATAATTCTGGTAATAATACTAAGTAGTTTATATTAGAGATAATGGGAATGGTGCAAAATAAATTAGTCACCGAGCTATTATAAATAACTCATTACGATTGTGACCAGATATAAACATTAATGAATATGATAATGGTATACAATACCGTTAAGTTGATAATTAGACATATGTGCAATTGTTAGGTATCTTTATTCCGAAATGTTTCGCCTACGCAGTAAGCTTCTTCAGTCGAGTACAGAGGAGGCAGCAGAAGCAGTAGAGATGTGAAGACGACATAATCAGTCCATCACCATTAAAGACGTAGTTTTGAGGTGGTCAGTCCCTCAGCTTGAGGTTGAGGGACGGAATGAAGGTACCTAACTTGCACATATGTTACTTATCATCAGATATAAACATGTAACTAGTTCGTTATCACTGTAACTTGCTCAGCTATCAAAACTTTGGGGCCCAGTCCCTGGACCCATTATGTACCTTTGTAATCCTTTGACTGCCACCCACACAATGGGTATGGGGTGCATAATAAGGATATTAAATTAACCAGGAGACAGTTTCCTAACGAACAAAACACTATCACCTAAACGTAGACGTATTTAATACTGGGAAATTAAAAAACTTTATCGTCCTGTTCGTGTTCTGTTGGTCAGAAAATAAATTTAAAAGTTTAAAAATCTGTCCCCTCCATCATGTGAACTACCATCAATATTTTCTTTAGTTGACACTTTCAAAGATTTTGCGAAATTTATCGATTTATATTCCTTCTATTTCATTGATTTTTTGTTCTTCCTGGGCGAAGGATGACGCTGGTGTTTACTCACGTGTTTTTTGAAAAACGCGAGTAAACATTAGCTACTACTGCCTCTACTACTACACTAACTACTACTACCTCTACGACCACTACTACTACTGCCACTACCACCACTACTGCTGCCTCTGCCACCAGTACTACCAATACTGCTGCCTCTGCCACTAATACTACTGCCTCTACCACCACTACTGCTGCCTCTGCCACTAATACTACTGCCTCTACCACCACTACTGCTGCCTCTGCCACTAATACTACTGCCTCTACCACCACTACTGCTGCCTCTGCCACTAATACTACTGCCTCTACCACCAATACTGCTGCCTCTGCCACTAATACTACTGCCTCTACCACCACTACTGCTGCCTCTCCCACTAATACTACTGCCTCTACCACCACTACTGCTGCCTCTGCCACTAATACTACTGCCTCTACCATCAATACTGCTGCCTCTGCCACTAATACTACTGCCTCTACCACCAATACTGCTGCCTCTGCCACTGATACTACTGCCTCTACCATCAATACTGCTGCCTCTGCCACTGATACTACTGTCTCTACCATCAATACTGCTGCCTCTGCCACTGATACTACTGCCTCTACCATCAATACTGCTGCCTCTGCCACTGATACTACTGCCTCTACCACCAATACTGCTGCCTCTGCCACTGATACTACTGCCTCTACCATCAATATGCTGCCTCTGCCACTGATACTACTGCCTCTACCATCAATACTGCTGCCTCTGCCACTAATACTACTGCCTCTATCACCAATACTGCTGCCTCTGCCACTGATACTACTGCCTCTACCACCATATTTGCTGCCTCTGTCACTGATACTACTGCCTCTATCACCAATACTGCTGCCTCTGCCACTGATACTACTGCCTCTACCACCAATACTGCTGCCTCTGCCACTGATACTACTGCCTCTACCACCAATACTGCTGCCTCTGCCACTGATACTACTGCCTCTACCATCAATACTGCTGCCTCTGCCACTGATACTACTGTCTCTACCATCAATACTGCTGCCTCTGCCACTAATAACTACTGCCTCTACCATCAATACTGCTGCCTCTGCCACTGATACTACTGTCTCTACCATCAATACTGCTGCCTCTGTCACTGATACTACTGTCTCTACCATCAATACTGCTGCCTCTGCCACTAATACTACTGCCTCTACCATCAATACTGCTGCCTCTGCCACTGATACTACTGCCTCTACCACCAATACTGCTGCCTCTGCCACTGATACTACTGCCTCTACCATCAATACTGCTGCCTCTGCCACTAATACTACTGCCTCTACCGCCAATATTGCTGCCTCTGCCACTAATACTGCTGCCTCTGCCACCAATACTGCTGCCTCTGCCACCAATACCACCAATATTGCTGCCTCTGCCACTAAAACTGCTGCCTCTACCACCACTACTGCTGCCTCTGCCACGAATACTACTGCCTCTACCACCACTACTGCTGCCTTTGCCACTAATACTACTGCCTCTACCACCAGTACTCTGCTCCTCTGCTACAATACTACTGCCTCGACCACGAATACTACTGCCTCTACCACCACTACTGCTGCCTCTGCCACTAATACTACTGCCTCTACCACCACTACTGCTGCCTTTGCCACTAATACTACTGCCTCTACCACCAGTACTGCTGCCTCTGCTACCAATACTACTGCCTCGACCACGAATACTACTGCCTCTACCACCACTACTGCTGCCTCTGCCACGAATACTACTGCCTCTACCACCACTACTGCTGCCTTTGCCACTAATCTACTGCCTCCCTACCACCAGTATGCTGCCCTGCTACCATACTACTCCCTCGACCAAATACTAACTGCCTCTACCACCATAGCTGCCTGCCACTAATACTACCCCTCTACCACCACTACTGCTGGCCTCTGCCACTAAAAACTACTGCCTCTACACACCACTACTGCTGCCTCTGCCACTAAAACTACTGCCTCTACCACCACTACTGCTGCCTCTGCCACTAATACTACTGCCTCTACCACCACTACCGCTACGTCTGCCACTAATACTATTGCCTCTACCACCACTACTGCTGCCTCTGCCACTAACACTACTGCCTCTACCACCACTACTGCTGCCTCTGCCACTAAAACTACTGCCTCTACCACCACTACTGCTGCCTCTGCCACTAATACTACTGCCTCTACCACCACTACTGCTGCCTCTGCCACTAAACTACTGCCTCTACCACCAATACTGCTGCCCCCTGCCACTAAAAACTACTGCCTCTACCACCACTACTGCTGCCTCTGCCACTAAAACTACTGCCTCTACCACCAATACTGCTGCCTCTGCCACTAATACTACTGCCTCTACCACCACTACTGCTGCCTCTGCCACTAAAACTACTGCCTCTACCACCAATACTTCTGCCTCTGCCATTAAAACTACTGCCTCTACCACCACTACTGCCGCCTCTGCCACTAAAACTACTGCCTCTACCACCAATACTGCTGCCTCCTGCCACTAAAACTACTGCCTCTAACCACCACAAACCTGCTGCCTCTGCCACTAAAACTACTGCCTCTATCACCAATACTGCTGCCTCTGCCACTAAAACTACTGCCTCTACCACCAATACTGCTGCCTCTGCCACTAACACTACTGCCTCTACCACCACTACTGCTACCTCTGCCACTAATACTACTGCCTCTACCACCACTACTGCTACCTCTGGCACTAATACTACTGCCTCTACCACCACTACTAACACCACTAACCCTTCCCCCCCGGTATCGGAAAATCGAAAGGGTAGATTGTAGACTTGTGAAATCATCTGCCAACATTGGAGGACCCTGAGTGTGTCCCTTTTATGTTACTGCTCCTGTGTCATTGTTGTTCTTGTTGCACTCTACTTCTTGTCTTCTTATTCCCTTCCTTTATTGTTCTTGTTTCCCTGTTTAACTGTCCTTGTTGTCTTATTTCCTTTGTTTCACTCTGTGTTCTTGTTTTCCTTTTTTAACTGCCGTTTTTGTGTTCTTACTCCATTTACTGTTCTTGTTTCCCCTGTTTAACTGTCCTTGTTGTGTTCTTATTTTCATTGTTTCACTCCGTGCTCTTGTTTCTTTTGTTTCAATGTTCGTGTGATCTGGTTCCTGTATGTCAGCCAGCGGAAGGCCTCGGTCAGATGACCAAAAGCACCAACGGCGGGTCATCATCTAAGACCCGTGTTTCCTGACAAACCTTACCTAACTTAACTCTTTGTCGTGTTCTTGTTTCACTGTCCTTGTTATATTCTTTTTTCACTTATAATGACAGTTTTTTGTTTGCCATTATAAGCTTTTTTTTATCTAATTCAGCTTACATAGGCTTAGTATTGTTAAATTACTTTTAGGCTTTTAGTCCTTATTCTATAAATTAACTTTAGGTTAGTAATCCATATTCTTTAAATCAACTTTAGGTTTCTAACCCATATTCTTTTTTTTTTTGGGGGGGGGGGTTATTCTAGGTAATTTACACTATGTATAATAATGTATTTATATGCACCTGTGCCTGAATAAACTTACTGCTGACTATACATGGCTTACAGAGGAAGGATTCTTTTCCACTTCCCCGTGGAATTATATTTATTATTACTAATATTATTATATTGTTATTCTGCAGGCATGTGTCAGTGTTGGCGCTGGTGGCGACGCTTGCAGCTGTGGTGGTGGTGGTGGTGAAGGTGCTGGTGGAACCTACCACCATCCAACCAGAGTACCCACCACCTACCTTCTCCTCCTTCTTCCTGGGTTTTGGCACCATCATGTTCTCTTATGGTGGGGCAGTCACCTTCCCCACCATCCAGAATGACATGTCTGACCGATCCAAGTTTCCACTGGCTGTTGTCATAGCATTCGCCAGTAAGTGGGGCATACATCATCCTATATTACATACACAACTCCCAGTTAAATTCATGAGATTTAACCTGTACAAAATACAAAATTCATAATTTAATTCTCAAGATTCATCATGTGCAAAATACTCATTAAATGCCCCCCCCCCCAAAAAAAAGTAATTAATTCTTCAGAACATTCATATTAGTTATCAGTTCACTTCACTCCATTATGTACCTCTGTAATGTTGAGGTACAGTCCCTGGACCCATTATATACCTCTGTAATTTCGAGGTACAGTCCCTGGACCCATTATGTACCTCTATAATCTTCACTGACTACCATCCACAGGACGGGTATGGGGTGCATAAGAAAAATATTAAACTAACTGTATGTAATAATCGCAAACAAATGATACAAGATGCAAAACAGCTACAGGGGAAATTGAATAATAGCTCTAGGCCTTTTGTGTAGCAATCAGTGTATCATCAGGAGCTTGCAATGTTGCAGAAATGAGTAGGAAGTCCAGGACCTGACTAGCTTGTGCTGTTGGGTCTGGTGCAGTACTCCATCCTTGAGTGGAGGTGAGCAGACTGGGTGGGTCATTGGGCTAATCCGGGGGGGGGGTCATTGGTCTAATCCGGGGGAGATACATGGACCTGCTCTGCATGGGTCAGTAGGCCTGTTGCAGTGTTCCTTCTTTCTTATGTTCTTATGTTCAGATTTGTTTAGGGAAATGTTCTAGCTAAAATGTTCCCCTGAGCAATTCTACCTGGACTTCCTACTGATTTCTGTGACATTGCAAGCTCCTGATGATGTGTTGATTGCAGTGCGAAAGGCCTAGAGCTATCGTTCAACTTCCCCTGTGGTAGTTTTGCATGTATGTATGAGTTACACTGGGTTATTGTTTTCTATGTAAAAAAAATAATGTTTATATAAACACTGGCTATGGCTACTTCTGAGTATATTGCAAATTGCAATTTCAGGAGGACTGACAGTTAATTTACGGTATGAGAGTTTCCAGAATAGACGGATTGTGAGTGTGTTGATGAGTGTGTGTGTGTGAGATTAGTGTGTTGAGTGTGAGTGAGATTAGTGTGTTGAGTGTAAGTGAGATTAGCATGTTGGGTGTGAGATTAGTGTGTTGACTGTGAGTGAGATTACTGTGTTGAGTGTGAGTGGGATTAGTGTGTTGAGTGTGAGTGAGATTAGTGTGTTGAGTGTGAGTGAGATTAGTGTGTTGAGTGTGAATGAGGTTACTGTGTTGGGTGTGAGATTAGTGTGTTGGCTGTGAGTGAGATTACTGTGTTGGGTGTGAGATTAGTGTGTTGACTGTGAGTGAGATTACTGTGTTGGGTGTGAGATTAGTGTGATGAGTGTGAGTGAGATTAGTGTGTTGAGCATGAGTAAGATTATCATGTTGAGTGTGAGTGAAATTAGTGTGTTGTGTGAGTGAGATCAGCATGTTGAGTGTGAGTGAGGTTAGTGCGTTGCGGGTGAGATTAGCGTGTTGAGTGCGAGTGAGATTAATGTGTTTAGTGTGAGTGAGATTAGTGTGTTGAGTGTGAGAGAGATTAGTGTGTTGAGTGTAAGATTAGCGAGTGTGAGTGAGATTAGCGTGTTGAGTGTGAGATTAGCATATTGAGTGTGAGTGAGATTAGCATGTTGAGTGTGAGATTAGTGTGTTGCTGTGAGTGAGATTAGCATGTTGAGTGTGAGTGAGATTAGTGTGTTGAGTGTGAGTGAGATTAGTGTGTTGAGTGTGAGTGAGATTAGCATGTTGAGTGTGAGTGAGATTAGCATGTTGAGTGTGAGTGAGATTAGCATGTTGAGTGTGAGTGAGATTAGCATGTTGAGTATGAGATTAGCATGTTGAGTGTGAGTGAGATTAGCGTGTTGAGTGTGAGTGAGATTAGCATGTTGAGTGTGAGTGAGATTAGTGTGTTGAGTGTGAGTGAGATTAGTGTGTTGAGTGTGAGCGAGATTAGCATGTTGAGTGTGAGTGAAATTAGCATGTTGAGTGTGAGTGAGATTAGCATGTTGAGGGTGAGTGAGATTAGCATGTTGAGGGTGAGTGAGATTAGCGTGTTGAGTGTAAGATTAGTGTGTTGAGTGTAAGATTAGTGTGTTGAGTGTGAGATTAACGTGTTGAGTGTGAGTGATTAGCATGTTGAGTGTGAGTGAGATTAGCGTGTTGTGTGAGTGAGATTAGTGTGTTAAGTGTGAGTGAGATTAGCGTGTTGAGTGTGAGATTAGCGTGTTGAGTGTGAGTGAGATTAGCATGTTGAATGTGAGATTAGCATGTTGAGTATGAGTGAGATTAGCATGTTGAGTGTGAGTGAGATTAGCATGTTGTGTGAGTGAGATTAGCATGTTG